TTTTTTTTTTTTTTGGGGGGGGGGGGGCGATTCCTGATAACTCGAACTTCGGATAACTCGAAACGATTTGCCCGGTCCCTAAAAGTTCGAGTTAATGAGTTTTCACTGTATTTCAATAAAAAACAGTGTAAAAAATTGGACTTTTGGCCTGTGAAACAAAAATAATAGGAGTGCAAAGGGTTAAAGCTTGATAAAACCATAACAATACCAGGCAAAGTTTGTAAGTAAATAATAACTTTCCATAGCATGATATTCCACAATGTGAAATGAAGTGTTAGTAGATACTATATCTTCCAGAACTGTACTACTTGTGTAGCTGCTCCACTCATTCCATTTTTGCATCAAGAAAACTACTTTAATTATCACCCATTAAAAATGAGCCCTCTGATCCCTCATAGAATCACATTTTATGAATACATGTCAAAAGTTCTAGCAATCAAATTGGATGCATTCTGGCAACTTCATGGATATTTTAGTTAAACAAAAAAAATATTTTAGTTGTCAACTTGGGAAAAATCATTTGTTGAGAACCGAAGAGCCAAAAGTCATGTCATATAAAATATGAAAGTATTAGTCAGGTTCTTTCATGGGACATTATTTTTCAGGAATAGCTCTCACTATCATCTTTTAGAGGGATTCATTCCCTTCATAGCATTCTTTCAAAGTCACATCCTCATATCAAGACAACCACCAGTGTTGAGAGGAATTTGTTTTCTGATAGAGGGTGCCAAACACCAAATGATAACACTATCAAGGTCAAAAAGGTGACATCATTCCCCTCACCACCCCTAATAATCCAGAGTCCTTCAAGTAGGTTCATAGAAAATTGTCTCATCTGAATAAGGTAATGATGACAAATTAAAGATAGAAGTTTAATCAAAGCTCTACCTTTCACACTTGTGACGTGAAAGACGGATGCGATTCAGGTCATCCTTTGTGCTGATGTATTGGACTTTCTTCTTCTGGGTCAAATAATCAGACCTTTTGATGCAGAGAAAAGAAAAACAATAGCTGCAATCAGGACTTTTGAAAATGGCAGGATGACTGTCGAAAGCAATTGAGCATCCTCATACCGGTCAGAAGAATCACTAATGCTTCCATCACTAGCTCCATCCTTGTCAGATTCTGACTGATCTGAATCACTATCATTATCTGAGTCATCTGAGTAGATTTCTGATGCCTTTAGTTTCTTGTTCTTTTTGCTGGAAACTCCAAGCTTCTCATCTTTTTCATCTTCCTGTTCCCTGCTCCCCTCTGTATGAACTTCTACCTCCTTTGGTTTCTTCTCTTTTTCCTTCTCCCGCTCTTTCTCCTTCTCTCTCTCCTTCTCTTCAGCTGAAGAGAATAAAGAGACTTTTGCTTTGCTGTTGTCTTATAAAGAGAGGTACACAATTCATCATGAAAAATAATAAGAACATTACCTCTACGACCTTTCTCTTCCCTTTTTGCTTTGAGAGCATTGAAAGCTTCACCTTTGGCATCTTTCTTTTTCTCTTCCACAGTCTGCTGCCTCACCTTACTGCGAATCTTAGCATCCACCTTCTTCTTTGACATGATGTCTTGTCTCTTCCTGGCTTCTCGTAGACGTTTCTCTATCTCATATCTAATGCACAAGAATGAATTATTAACTCATACAGTCTGCCACCTACTGAACACAGAATCTAGAGGATGGACATTTCTGCCAAAAATACTTTAGACAGATTACCTTTTCCGCAACCGTTCCCTATTTTCAATACGTTTGAAGAGTTCTTGTTCTCTCTCTTTTTCTGTCATTTCTGTGAGTTGCTTCCTATCCTCATCATCTCCCATTAAATCATCTCCGTATCCATCATTAAACTGCTCTGCCCAGGCATCAGAGTCTGAATCGTAGTCTGAAGACACCTCTCCTGGAAAACAGATGCAAGAAAAAAAGACTATTAGCAACTAAGGTCATCATACAGACTAGGGCTGTACCAATGGCCACATTTGGCAAGTGGGCCAATGGCAGATTTTAATCTCATGACCATCAGCCAGTCCTAGTGCAAATTGTGTTCTGTAGTTTGAGAAAACATGAAATCACATACTAATTCAAATAGGCCTATTTGAAAGCCTTGTGACACTCATCAGTGTTCTTGAAATGATAGAGATCACTTTTAGGCCTGCCTGTGTCTGTCAGTGGTCAACCTGTTACCTATTCCTGCATTTAATGACGCATCTCTCGCAAAAGCATAACATGAAAGAGGTGCCATGATTTCCCATTCTTTGTTGTAATTTTCCTCCACCAATTCCTACACTCAAGCTGAAATATAATCTGATGAATATTTTTGTCCAGGAGAGGCCAGTAGGAGTGGCTTTCAGAGAGATATGAAGGCAGGCACCTAGCTGTATCCATAAGTTTATGTTATTTTTTATTTTGCCCCTACTTCGCCACCTACCATGGAGCAAAAAATTTTTGCTAATGTTTTAATTTTACTAAGTACAAAGAATTGCAAAATTACATCAGCAAAACTTTTTATTGCTCTATATCATATATGAAAATCATGAAATTTAAAAGAAGCCTAAGTTTAAGATTTTTATGAATTATATTGGTTTGAAATTTTGTCATTACACTTTATTGGATCAGTTTGACTGAATGCACTGCAGTTGGAATTAAAGTCTGTCTCCAAAACCCAGGTCATGGTTTTCTTGAAAAATCCTGCACTCTATTCATCAGGAGCCCCACTGGAATGGGGTGGAGAAATTCAAGTATCTCAAATTATGGTTCTTGAGAGTTGGGCAGTATGAAAATGAAATTTAAAAAATCATGCCTTCAAGGCTTCTGCAGTTTGGAAACTCTGATGGGCTATGATTACCAAAGTATAAATTTCCAATGAAATTTTCTTTTCTGGTTTACAACAGAGATTTTGTCTTCACACCCTCATCTATGGCCATGAACTTTTCAAGTTAATGAAGTACTGTGGTCTAGAGTAAAGAATGACTCACCCCTCTATATACAATTAAGCGATATTAATGCATATTGCTCACAGGGAAAAAGTCAGTTTTGCATTTTGCAGCTCAAAAGTAGAACCTGAAAAAAAAAGCTTTAAACTTATGATTCAACTAACTTCAAATAATAACATTCATTGTGTGATTTTGGATCAGTCAATCATTGATACTAGACCAATCAAGAAAAATTAGCAAGTTTTAAAAAGCTTATTCCATGTCATCTCCATTGGGGATAAATTTATATTTAGATAAGCCAATCACTGGTGTTCAAATAAAGGCACCATGAGTCATTCCCATTCCTAACAGATAGATCTCCTAAAGACTCATTGAAAGATAAAAGCTATAGCTATAAAGAAAACGTGCAATCAGCTGAAGAATGTCTTACCTTGTTTGCTGAAAAAGTCAATAAATGGAAAATGTCCATTAGAACCATATGCATGTCTAGGCATCTACTTGGGAGAAACCAGTGCAAGTATGCCAACATGCACAACTACATAAGTTCAGCAAGATTCATGGTTCATCTCATGTGATGAAGATGACTAGAGCAAGAAAAGGGGGAAAGACTGCAAATTCTAAAAATGGTCCACCAATTGTGATGACTTCGCAAGCAAAGAGATTGAAAGGAAGATGTAAAATCAGAAAACATGGGTACCGTATTATAAAGGCAACATAAACATTGAGCTGTACAATATAAAATTCTATTCAGTAACTGCATGCAAAAAGTTTCTAAATTGTATTGTCCAAAATATAGTTCTCTGCTAACAGGAGTCCCTCCTTGACAGGACATGAAACTCAGGCTGATAGATGGAAGAGGACCATACCTTCTTCAGGCTCGCTGCCAAGGTCATTGCTCTTTGTATCTTCATATTCCACCTTCTGGTCTTGTTTTGCCTTCCCATCACCCTGGGCTGAAGATGAACTTTTTTGCTGAGTTTCAACATCAGACTCAAAGTCTGAAGTATCAGAGGCTGACCCAGAGTCATAATTCTTCTTTTTCTTCCTTGGTGGGGAAGATGGATCCTGCTTTTGTGTTTTCTTAGTAAGAGATAAGAATGCCTGAAATAGGGAGGGGGAAAAAAAAGGTTAAAAACATATTACCACAATCACCACTAGACAGTTTGAACTCATGGCAAGGAAAGCTTAACCTTTCAGTAAGTGAGACAACAAGAAAACTCAGTTTCTTAGGTGAACTACTACCAATTATGTTTTTGCCAATGAAAATTCAGGTGTAAACCCCTTCATGTAAAAATTTTTCAATATTCATCATGTTGACTAAAAAAAATTTGGCATCTTCCAAGGACAAATCTTCAAAGGACAAGTCCCTCTCAGTAGTCTATTTCACATTTTTCATTCATGCTCATGCATAGTCTGCAATTAGAGCAAGAAGCCATGTGAATGGACTCACATGCCCTCAAGGCAGTATTCACAGGCTGTATATTCCCATTGTGAGTGAAACTGTTTCAGCCACGTCTATACAGTTGGCCAAGACCCACTTCCCTTTGCCTCTAGCATTATCCTTTGTTGGCTAAGTTTGACATTATTTGCCTATACATCCTAAAATATCCCCAAATATTTCATAGGTTAACATTACGTGTTTTTTTTTTAAATTTATCATGAGTTCTGGCCTACTCATAGTTCAGGCTAAGTCTAGGTCTATGAGAGGATTACCTTTCATGAGTGAAAGCATTTATTTGGTGGATACAGTCCTGGTCCTATGTTCCAACATTTCCTACAGAACATGATACTATCATGATTGTATGAGATATAGAAGTTTCATTTTGTTGAAACAAGATTGCTTCTTTGTCTTTCTGAAAATTGGTAAAAAATTTAGTTTGAGCTAAATCTGAAATAATGACTAAAATAAAATTGATTATTTTTGTTCTGACAAATGCATGAAAAAACAGAAATGAAGGCTTCCCAAACTGACGAAAACATAATTGACTACAACCTATATTACAAGACAAAAGCACTAAATGCACATTGTGCACTGTATCACTTGCCATGATAGAGCAATGCACATTGTTTACAACTCACTCTTATTGCTTGAAAACTCTGTTCTGATGAGTGACATATGTTTGCAAGCAGTAAGCAATTGGAAGAGCTTAGGTGAATAACAAGTCATTTGAAGTAACAGGTTGGGTTTCTTTGTTTAATGACATGCATCCAAGCCTCAAAAAGGATCAGAACCAGAGAACTCACAGAATCAGAGTCAGAGTCACTGTCAGACTCACTGTCACTCTCAATTAATGCCTTGGACTTCCTCTTTCCTGGCATTATGGCATGGGTTTATGAAGGGGCATGCAACCTCCTTACATAACCATTCACATATGGTCAGGTAAAGGCCAGGCCTGAAGGCTACCTGTTGAGATATCATCATGTCACTTTTAACAAAAGAAACCACATTCCTAATCTGGCAGAAATTGGTTGATACAGTAACATTTCCTTCTATGCAAATGTTGACCTAGCAACATAATTATTATAATAACAATAATAGAGCACGATGCCCTGAAGAAATCCCATTCCATCCAGGGAGATGCCACCTGCTTCCAAAATGCACTCCATCCTGGTGATGACGCAACGGATATGAAGACGGCAGATCAGCAACAAAGAGAGGCTCGATGGAAGGGGAAACCACTTCATGGCCAGCATCCCAAAATCATCAATAAACCATAGATAGACTCCAATTTCAACTATAACTGGCTGAAGAAGGGACTGCTGAAAGCCGAGACAGAGAGCACCATCCTAGCCATTCAGGACCAGTGCATCAGAACTCGTAACAACAAGAAGCACATCCTGAAGCTGGAACTGCTGATATTGTCACAACTCATCTGAAACAGTTCACCACCTCCTAAATGCCTGCCCCGAACTTGCCCTGAGGGAGTATTTGTACAGACACAACCAGGTGTGCAAATACGTGCACTGGTGTGTCTGCAAACAAGCTGGCTTGGATGTCCCAGAGAAATGGTATGAACACCAGCCATAGCCTGTAGTGGAGAATTCCTCCATCAAGGTACTCTGGGACATGTCCACAATTACAGACCGCACCATAGTCTATAACAGGCTGGATCTTACGATCTACAGGAAGGAGAATAAGACCACCCTCCTCGTAGATGTGTGCATCCCAGCTGATATCAACCTCCAAGTGAAGTCCAGGGAGAAACTGGAGAAATACTCCAAATTGAAAGAGGAAGTGGAACAGTTGTGCAGAATGAAGACCACCATTGTTCCCATCATCATCAGCACAACCGGTGTTGTCCTGAAAGACCTCAAAGGACACGTCAAGAAGCTGGAGTGTCAACTATCACTCAACATCCTCCAGCGTACAGCAATCTTGGGCACGGCCAACATCCTCCACCATGTACTACAGAACTAAGACTAGTATGAGGACCAAGATGTGGCTCATCCCTTCTCATATCTCCTATACTGGCATTCACCGTGAAAGTCCACACATAATAATAATAATAACAACAACACTTACTTATGGCACATATACACTCTATAGTGAAATTTGAATGATATGGTATGCATCTTTGGTTTTACTTTTAAAATTTTTCTGATTGACTCAATAGGGGATAAAATCAAGTTTGCAGAGGGGCATGATGCCAAGCAAAGCATGCAAACCTTCAAAGTCCATCCAAATTCATTGCCACACAGCTCCTTATGGCTCTCATCTCCAAGTAGAATTGTCATGTAGTTCCAGCTAAATAGCATGAAGGAAAATTATTTTTCCTATATACCCTGGGATGTAAACCTTTTGATAAGATAGCTCAGGCAAAGCTTATAGTCTGACAGAATAAGCCATATAGGATATTGACTATCTTCCTTTCACCACTTCTGAAGCAGAAGCTAGAAGTTAGATCAAGTTGCTTAGGTTACTATTTCTGTGTTTTTGTGATCAGATCACACCCTCCCACAATAGCACTGGGGCTACTAGTGTTTCAATTCTAGGGACATCACTTGGATGCTCATGGATCATGGATGCTCATGGATCATGGATGTCCATGCATTTCTGACAATATGCCAAAAGAAAACTTAGTTCTACTGGTGTCAGTAGGCCAATAAAAAGCAATGGTTTGCATCAAAAGGGTGTGTGAATTCCTTGCAAAAAACACTGTAATTTGAAGCCCACAAATACCTGAGGACTATGTAGCCCAAAGGCTGATAGGCCTACTTCTTTTACTAATCAATGTGGATGAAAATGTCATGAAAACTAGTACTAGCATGGTACAGTACTGCTTTGAGAAAACAAAATCCAAACCCAGAACCATTCTATATTATTGGACCACAAACTTAGCATTTTTCAAAACTTGTCACATCCACTTTGGCATCAACTTCCAAGTTGATGCCAAATCAACTTTAATGCCAGAATTTACCATCAGGTGGCAGAAGGTGAAGTCCACCTCTCTCTTTCTGTCTCTGCAGGCACTGACCACTGTTGGCAGGTAGAGTGCTTATCGAATGAATTCACCCCCCTCTTACTAAGGGCTCCTATGACTCGCCATGCTTTTCTATGATGCATCTGCGGATGCTGTAACTGCTAATAACAACTAATCAAGGTAGATGTCACCCACGTCGCTATGTCCAGCATTCTAAATGGTTGGGGAAAGAGTATTCATCCGTTCTGAGTTTTCCATTTAAATCTTGCTTAGTCTTCCAACAAAATAAATGGTATTAATTTATTAAATACTCTTTTGGGGAGATAATGACATGCCCCTAACTTCTTTTTCTCATTCATTTTAATCACATCAATGATACCCATTGACTAATGAAGGATTTCATAATCATTATTTAGACTCAGAGGAGGGAAAATACAACTGAGCTCTGAGTACTGTGTCCAATATAAAGCATTTTAAACTTTTCTCCTCATTTACATTTTATACTCAAATTTCTCGTATTTCTACATTTGATCAATTTTATATCAACTGGATTCTAGTCCATTTCTTCTTATTTGTTAAAAGTACATCGAATATAGATTGCCTGCCATATGAGGTTTTCCTAGAAGGGAAAGGGAAAGGAAAGCTTCCATGAAAACCAAGGGAGAAGAATTCAGAAAGTTAACAATTAAATTTTCTTTTAACTCATCTTCGGATTTCTGGAATATTGAGAAATGTGAATTTTTTCCAGGTGTGTCTTTTCATGCATGATAAAATTATAAGGTAAAAATAAAAATGCAGAAGAATTATATATATGACTGATTTCGTGACTGCGTCAATGACAAGGTGACTATATCGTTTTTACTTCAGTGCTCTGACATTCCTCAAGGTTCACTTCACTTGAACTTTGTCCCTGATCTTTTGCTAACTGTCAAAATCACTAAGAATGTACTGACTTGGAGACATGAAGAAAATAATTTGTTTTTTAGGCATGGTATATTCATCTTAGGTCAAACAATACAGTTTCCAATATCTCCTGATTGGGGAAAAAACCTATTCAGAACTCATTCTGATCCAAATATGTAGGTCAATATATTAAATATATATATATTTCACGTTTTTGGTTTAATGCTCTTAGGAACTGCCCCAAAGACCCTGCCCTCATCCCCAATTGGTCTATAGTTTGAAGCTATGAGCATTATTTTTGGGACCTAAAAGCTGGAGCTTGCAGGCTGTTAGCCTCCATGAGAAGGGCCATGAAACTAAAAAGTTGAGAATCCCTGGTCTAAAGCATCTGTTTCTGCCACCTGATACATTAACAAGAATACAACAAACTATTATTGCCCCAGCACATCACAAAAAGGGCTTCTGAGACTGGCAGTTGGAGATGTTCTTTTCCTATTAATTGGTTGGCTTAGATTGAGATAGTTCATCCCTAATACATGCATGCAAGCAACCAGGCAAATCCAGACTTATCCTAGTCTTGGAAGCTCAATTGCAAAAAGGGTCTCAAAGCAGGTAGGTCTGTTCCAGAGTCACCTGTTGAAGACATTCAAACGTCCTCAGCGTGGAGTCGCCCAGTCGACTCTCTGCAATCTGGGTAATCATCCGCACCCAGAGAATGAGGAGAGGTAACCGACAACGGGCATTGTACGTCTTGCACACACCACCAGAGCACCATGCACACAGTGTGCACTTGCATAGTACGTCTTGTGCACACCACCAGAGCACCACGCACACAGTGTGCACTTACATAGTATGTCTCGCGTACACCACCAGAGCACCATGCACACAGTGTGCACTCGCATAGTATGTCTCGTGCACACTAAGGCAACATGCCCCTATGCAAGAGGGTTATCAAAGCCCAACATGGCACACGTGAGGAAGTTGTTGTTGCGTAAAGTGGGGGGCCGTTGGAGCCATCTTCACTACCAGCGTAAAATGCTGCATGGGCACGGCTTTACCATCCCGACCCAAGCCACTGTTCTCGAGCAGTCATTTGAGCCAATTTCCTTGCGTTTTCAACATTTTGACATGCTCACAGCTCGTTCGTCGTTTTATGCAATTTATGCCGTTCTATGCATTCACATTTTGCCAGCAGTGTTATAAACTATACATTCTTCCTCCAGTGGGAGAGGGCTTAAATAAATGAAAACATATTCCAGACGTGGAGGTCGGTTTTCATGATTTGACATCAATGCCTCATCAGGGCATGGGAGGTCAGCTGGGGACGAGACACACTCTAACGTAGGAGAGGACAAGGGTGCACGGTGTACATGGGTGGGGAGGGTGTGCGCAAGGCGAACAATGCCCCCCACAACGTGATCACTCCCTATATGTAGCCTAGAAATCAATTAAATTCCGTACTTACCGATTACCGTTAGGCCCTACCTTACGTAATTACGTACGTACGTAATAGGCCAAGACACGGGGTCTGATTTCCCTCAGATTTCTCTTTCAACTTTCACCTAGCCCAAGGTTGGGCTAAGGCTAAGTCTTACGCTCAGGCCTAGGCCTACCGGGCTGCTCACCACGAGTAGGCTTAATTTCCGCACCAACGAAATGCGAAAAATCGATGGGACAACTTTCTGCGCGAAGGGTTAACTGCACCAGGCCAACTTTCAGCTAACAGCTTGTATAGTAAGCCAGAGCAAGGGCGGCTTCGTCCAAATACATTTCCGTTTTTTGCTGCTTACTCGTACAACGAATTGAAGACGTTATTTCATGAATTTCACATGCTAACTTAGGTCTAATGTTAAGCCTATCGTAGGCCGAAGTTGGAATTCGAAGCAGTTGACTTTGGAAAGAGACACTTTGTTCTTAGCTCCATCGAGAACGTCAAGCCCAACGCAAGAAAAACAGCGAGACCAAACTCATTTTAGAACAAAATAAAGTGCTCATGGACGTGGGTGAGCAGCCATGATGAAGTCGCGCGGGACTTTTATCCGTGTTTCTGTGCCTCAATGTTCATGCTTCAGTTAGAGACCT